CAGGTCAGAATATAAAAACATAACATTCAGTGAGTGACATTTGACCAATGTAGACACACTTATAGAGTTGTTGAGTGACCAAGGTATCTCAGTACATGGCACCTTTCTAAATTCAGTACAGGTAGTCCTCCACTTACAATCACAATAGGAACCAGAATTTCCATTACTAAGCAATGGTTGTTAAGTGAGTCACGCTGATTTGGCCATCTTTTCTGCCACCATTGTTCAGTAAATCATGTTACATTAAGCAAATCTGGCTTCCGTCATAGACTTTGCTTACCGGTTGCCAACTAGAAAGATCACATGACCATGGATGCTGCAACCACATAAATACATGCTGGTTGCCAAGTGCCCAAATTTTGATCTTGTGACTATGGGGATGCAGCAACGGTTGTAAGTGTGAAGACCACTTTTAAGTCATTTTTTTCAGTATTGTGGTAAATTAAGCATTTCTGTTTGAGCACAGAAAACTGGTTATGTTTAGGAAATGTTGTATTATGTGAAATTTAATAAAATTAGGTACCGCAGAAATCTATCATATCAATATTAAAAAAATCTAAAAATTTGATATAAGAGCTTACACATGGAAGTCATTAGAAGAGATATATATCAAATTAAATTTTGATCTTGTGACTATGGGGATGCAGTAATGGTTGTAAGTGTGAAGACCACTTTTAAGTCATTTTTTTCAGTATTGTAACTTTGAACAAATGATTGTAAATTGAAGACTACATTTGATCAATGTAGACAATGTAGATGATACATTGTGGAAGTATAATAAATGTGGAAGATACACATTTATTAACAATAATTTGTTAGCATCTTTTTCTATGCATTCTCATGTGCTATAGGCAAATCAGTTGTATTTTTTCTCCTATGCATTCAGTTTATTCTCTCTGTTGTGTTTCTGTGGTCAAGATATTGTCCTTAAGAGGATACCGAAGGCACTATTTTCTCAAAAGTAATGAAATTAGCCTATTTTTCCATCAGTCATTTATAATTTTAAAGTAGTTCATTAAAGTTGTTAAAGCTATAAACAGCTAATTCTGGTTTTCATATTAAAAATATCAAACTAACGACACAAACTGAGCTTGAATACCATTACAAAACAATGGCTTGCTTAATTATAATTTATTAGACAATAATTAGTCCACTTATGCAACATATAAATCTGTAAATTTATAAAGCTAGAGCCTTGGTGGCACAGTGATTAGAATGCGGTATTGCAGGTAAACTGATGGAAGGCTGATTCAGCCTTCCATCCGTCTGAAGTCCGTAAAATGAGGACCCAGATTGTTGCGGGCTATATGCTGACATTGTAAACTGCTTAGAGGGTGGTGTAAAAGCACTATGGAGTAGTATGTAAGCTTGATACTGCTCTTGCTATTGCAAATCATAATTTAGAAACTACAATGGCTAGGTTCCCATCACAGTCCAGCTAGAGCTAAACAAGCTGTGTTATGGTTTAACACAGTATGTGAACCTATTCATGTTATCTTAGTTCATGCATTGACTTCCCTATTGCTATGCTTCATAGTTTCCTAAAATTAGTATGGCCATGTGGATGCTTCATACAGCATTAGTAGTCTTTCTGTTTTTTTATTAGAGACATCCTACAGGCTGTCCTCCTTGAATGATCACAATTAAGAGCAACAATTTGGTTGCTAAATGAAACTGCTATTGTGCTTACAATTTTACCTCAGCTTTCCTTTGTTTTAAAGACTTGAGAAGATTGTAAATGTGAAAATTGGTCCCAAAGTTACTTTTTCATCAACACTGTTACTGCAAATATAGTCACTGTAGAAGATAATCACTAAATGAGTTTACCTGTATATGCCAGCAGGAACTCGTTTAGAACCCAAAGTGAAGCTGTTTTTGATATGTCTTTTCTTTTAAAACAGAATAGTGTATAGAAGAAAAGATACATGCAAGATTTTGTTGATTTGATGCAGACACCAATGTACTCTGATCAATATACCTACAAAATGCAGCAGCACACTTTGAGATAATCACATAAAATTTATAGACATATGCCAAGATCCAGTTAGAACATTTTTAACTGCTCTTTAGAACAGTTTAATAAAATGTCCACAAAATAGTGGAACTGAAAGCCAGAAATTGTTTATTGGTGATTTTTTTAGATATAGACATGCTCTGATTAAACAATGCTCCATCATGATCAGAGAGCATTATGTACTAACACTGCCAGTCAATCTTTGAAATATTCTACAAGCCATGAGGATCAATATAAACAAGAAAAGGTTACCTCAAATACCCACAGAATAGCTTATTTAGCATACAGTGAAACTACTGATACTTTACGACAGTGTTCAGGGGGAAATAATGTATTAATGATCATATCAACCAGTGCATAAGAAACATAGAGATGCTTCTTTTGTGGAAGATTATGGGATATTAGGAAGGAAATGGAAGAGAATGTGGACCTTAATAACCACAAGGTAGCAAGTGAGTAATTTAATGGATTATTTAGGTAAGTGGCAATTTATTTCAACTGGAAAGAAAACTTGGAAGAAGCATTTCAGTTATTCAGAGAGAGACTGCCTTAATTAATCCACTATATGTTAGGAGAGAAAGTTTCACAATTTCTGATTATCCCCAGAGCTAGCATTAACATATCTGATTAACATCTATGTGTTCTTGTATTCTTGATCTTGCCCAGCTGGGTGAAGTTTGACATGTTTTGTTATTGGCTTCCAATTCCTGACATGTCTGAGAAAGACAAGCTAGGAGTCTTAGTGAATACACCCATTTTTAAAAAAGGTTGTAGATAGATAGGACAATCCATACGAGAATAACTGAACAATGTGCATATGTTATCACTGAACATTCTTATTCATTATGTGCTGCAAATATCCATCCATCATTTGTCTACCAAAACTATACGGACCAAGTCTTAGCATCCTCAGGAACAGCAGAGGATTTCAAAAGATATCATCACCTTTTCTTTTCTGCAAAGAAACGAAGCCAGTAAATTTTTATAGACCATCCCCAAAATGGCAGTTGTTTAATCTAATGTAGGAAGCCAAACCTATAGACTTAAATTAAAATGGAGGCACTTAGAAAAAGGCCAGTTTTTCATCTCTGATTTAAGAGTTAAATATAATGTAATGCCAGCATGGACTTAAGACCTGCTAAGCAGAAAACCAATGCATTCACTCAAAAATATTCCTATTATTCATCAAAAATAAAATTAAATCAAAATATGGAAACCTGCCTCATAATAACTTTGAGAATAACAAATAATGAAAATGTGTCCTTTGTGAATGTCACATCACTCAAAGTTTGAGAATAAAAAATAGATCTGAAAACTAATTCCTGATGAGTTCTACTGTCTGCAAATATTTATTCCTGAGAAAAAAACTGATAGTGTTTTGTCCCACCACGTCCAGGATTGGTTTTTTTTAAATTGGACTTTACTTCTTACTACATAGACAGCATTTTGTTACTGCATTTTTTAGAAAGGGTGGAAAAATGATTATTAATGTAAATCCAGTTCTTTAAAGTTGTAGTTTTAGCAACAATATGTTAAGGATACAGATGTATATGAAGTATAGTATGTTCATCTTTGATTTACCACAAATATGTAGTCATATTGATAAAATGTTATTTTGAGGGAAAGCCTTAATTTTCCTATATAAATGAGAGTGCAGTAAATATTGGTGTCCTGTCCCATAGAAAAGGTTATTCTAAAAGCGTCTCCAGCAATAAAGCATTTCCATTGTATGCAAACTGTTCTAGAACTGCTATATCTAAACCATTCTCAGCCTTCCCTAGCCTGAGATGAACAAAAAGTTATAACATTTTTTAGGCAGGAATTCCAAGACCAATTTTATTGCAGTATGTGAACATATTGTCTGACTATTTGTTATGGGTGTATTTTGCCAGGAAACTTCAGGGAATTTTTTTTTTTGGTTAACATGTATTGATGTTTTAAATGTAGCATTCTGTACAGCAATTTTTCTCTACACAATAAATATCTAATGAAGTTGGAATAAGAGACAGTGGGTTTCTCTTGCTAAAGTGGATTAGAACCTGGGTCTACTTGATCCTAGTCCAATACCCAAGAGATACTACTGCAATAATATGGAAATTTTCTATTATTTCTGTTATTGCCATTTTTTTGATACTGAAATCTGTGGTTTCATGAAACTGAGTTTCAGTAGCCAGCCAAGTTTTTTAAAAATAATTTGTTTTCAAAAAATCATTCTAGCTATATAGCACCACCTAATGCTTATTATAAGACAAAGAAAGTTTTAAGAAAACCAGATTACTGTGGACTAGTGAAGAATTCAGGTAGTGTAGTTCCTGATTTTACTGAATTTTACACACATTTATTCTGTATCAGAGCAAAAATATCTGAAATATGAATTGGGTTTTTTTTTATTATTATTATTATTATTTACATATAAGTATATCGAACATAGTGTGACCATCCTAGCGATTCATCTGCCATAAAAACCAAAGTGAAAGACATATAACATTTATACTTCTTACACAGTGCTAATTTTGTACAATTATTTTTGACCAGCGTATTCATTGTGGTACATATATAATGTTTCATTCCGGATCTACTTAGCCTAATTGTTTCATGTTCCAACTCCCACCTTGTGTTTCCAGCCATTGATAAAATCTTTTCCATGTGTCATAATATTCTGTGTCTCCTTTATTTTTAAATTCTAATGTTAATCTATCCATTTCTGAGCATATTAATATCTTCCTTATTATCTCCTTTTCTGAAGGGTTATATGGATTGTTGATTTTAGTGTTTGACATGTTGGTTTCTTCCACAAAGCCCTAATGTAGGAGACAGCTTTAGTCAGTATGTCTGATACATTAGAATTTCAGTCATTGGAAGATGCTGAAGGATACAGATTGATTTAATAGCATGAAAAACTTGTGAAAGTCTATTATGATGTTTCCTTATTCATTTATAAACATTGTTATCTGTTCCACATCTGTCTGCTGCTTTTCTCTGACAGATAAGCTGCAAAGTGCTTCAGTTTTTTCACCAATATACAATGGGCTGTAACTACTTCTGGATGCTTTGTGAAGGAATATATCTTCATACACTGATTGTGGTGGCAGTATTTGCTGAAGAACAGCGCTTGCATTGGTATTATCTCCTGGGCTGGGGTATGTGGTCTTCCACCCAGTTGTTAAAATATTTCATTTTGTCACAGAGTTTTTAAAGTAATTGCCACTTTGACTCATGCAAATATCCACAGGAAAAGACAGCTCCTATAAGTTATTATGCAAAAAAAAATTGTGTAGAATCTTTGTACAAATGAATGAGAACCAATATGGCAGATTGGAACAGTAGGGTGGCTAAGATGCTAACACTAGACACACACACAAGAAAGTCAGTTGGATGGCTTTGGGATTTGTTTTTATATCCTCTCAAATGAAAGGATAGACAGGATATAGCAAAAGATTACTTTAATCATTATATTGCTTTTCCCATCAGGGAGAGTCTAGTAGAGGTTTTGGCTTCAGATGTCAAAGTAATTTGACATGCCTTAGGATTTCTTGACCTTTGTTTTGAGTGATTGAAGAACATTTCACTTAATACATTACCCATCATTGTTCACTGTGCTCAACTCACGATTAAAAGCTAAGAGAGAGCTGGTGGTCAAGAAACACTCCTAGACTGCACAATTGCTCTTTTTTGTGGGAATATACTTCTGGAGGTGACCTTTAGTTCTTTTAAGATTTGTAGGTGGAAAAAAAAATCCATACAATCAGGATAGCAGTTTTTAAGGTTGCCTCACAGTGATGTGCCCCAGCTCTGGAGTCAAGTCAAGGTGAATTTGATAGCTCACATTTATTTCAAGAAATGTATCTCAGTCAAACCAGAACTTTTATCATATAAAATGTTGTTTGGTCCATTTTTATTCTTTCACATATAATTTAACAGTGATCTGCAAGGCAATGTTAAAGCAAAATGCATTGTAGAAATAACTGTTTGTGTTATCATTATAATTCCATACAATTTCCATCAGTGCTTACATCTCTTAAACAGATAAAACTTGTTCCTCTTCAGTAATAGCCATTTAAAAGGAGATCTTTGAAATATTGAAGATATACTTAAGCTTCCTTGATAAACATTGAGTTGCATAAAAAATACATTAAAAGGGAATCCTTGTTGAGTGGGAATATATTTATATGACCCATTGGTCATATAAATGGAATATATTTATATGACCCATTGGTCAATCTCTTGACTTAGCCAGCGAAGGCTAATTCAACAGCAGATAAGTGCCACTGTCAATTGGAATGGATCTGGGTCTCTCTCACAGTTGCTGCAGGACTTACTGCCTTATTTGACTCTTTTGTTTTTTCATGATGGCTTAAATCAGCTTTAAAGCTCATTTAAACCTAGATTAAGATCTGAAGGTCACTGTTCAAATCCCTATCTAGTTATGCAATTCATTTTTGTTGCTGTTGCTGTAGTCAATTAACATATCTGTTTAATTTTACTTTTTACTAATGCATAACTTTGGCTAACTTGAGCTAGTGGAACAATGGCAGGATATAAATGTACTGTATATAGAACAATCCAGATTGAGACTGCATGCTAGAACAAGCAAATTCTCACAGTAGCGCAGTTTAAAAATGGAACCAATTATTAAGATCCCCTTCACTGGATCTGTTCAGGAACAAATTGGACGATCTGGGAATAGTTTGATTAAATACCAAGACTAAGAAGAGTATTAGGTTAAATTCTCCTTTCCAACTCCGTGTCTCTAAGGCATACCTATACAGATATATACATGCCCATAATCGAATCTAAAATAATATGAAATCTGATATATATGATTTATTATTTTAGGTTTTCCTTTAGTGCCAGCATCAATTCACGCTGTGGCCAGAGCCAGATATTTCAATGATAAGTGAGTATTGTGCTACTTTATATAAAACTTAATTAGGATCTGTATATATATATATATATTCATTATTTAATTTACTTATTTTCTTCCAGATGTTGGATTAGTGTCGACACATATTTGCTGTACATTGTTCATGGGCCTGTTATGGCAGCTTTATTGGTGAGAATATTATTTGCTACTTTATTGTGAGTTCAACACTAACTAATTCTGCTATACTTCATTGTTCTTATTGAGATGTTTTGTCCCCTGTTTCAGCACAGTATTCAGGATAGCTAAGTACTTTATAAAAACAATCATCCAATTCCATGGTTCCTTCTGTCCTTAAGACTTCTGAACCATTATCTTGACTTGAAACAGATTTCTGTCTTCGTGGTTAGAGAAGCAAATTGGATCCTAAAAATCTATCAATAACATGGTACCATAATCCAATGTTTTGAACTTGAGTGGGAATTTTTCTGAGTACACTGAGTAGTTGGAATCTTCTTGGTATAATATGTATTTACTTGGTAAAAAAAAGTCCTAGCAAATGCAGAAGGGTTATTTTTCACCTATTTGATCTCCATATTTGCACATTTTGTCCATGTGTTGGATTGACCATTGTCTGATGCAGAATGTTGGTTTGGATGAGCCTTTAATCTGAAGTAACAGACTAAAATTTGGATTCTTAAGAGATCGCAACCATTATATACAGCTACTTAGGAAAAAAGATCAGGAATTAACAGCTGGACAGATTTTTATAATGCCTGCGTTTATAATTTGGAGCATCTGATAAAAGCTTATATTCTGATCATAGTTATGTTAAATATAGCAAAGATTAAACTCCTAGAAAAAACCCCATTAAAAATAAGTTACTTGTTGCATACAGTTCATTAATTCCTAATAGAAAGACTGCATAAATATTTTCAGTGTAACAGATTGTGATAACCAGCTGCTGTGCATAATATCCTACTACATCTTACTCTTTGAAAGGGAATACCATTCCTGATTCTTGGTTTTCCAAAAATTTCAATCAAATCAAGATTTACTGTAATCATTCTCTCCAAAGTATCAGAAAGACCAATATGATTTGGTACAGAGGTGGTATTCAGTCAGTTTGCACCAGTTCGTGTGAACCATTGGTGGAAATTTGGCCAAGGTCACCAAACCGTCGTGCTCTTAAAACATTTTTATTTCAGGCTGGCCTGGCCTAACTCTCCCTTTTAAATTTTTAAATCGTTAAATTTGTTTATAAATTGGGTGTTTTAAATTTGTTTTGGCCAAAAAAATTAATAATTTTAATGGATTTTTAATGTTTGTATTATCTGTATTTTATCTTGGCTATTCACCGCCCTGAGTTCTTCGGGAGTAGGGCGGTATAGAAATTTGATTGATAAATAAATAAATAAATAAATAAATAAATAAATAAATAAATAAGCAAGCCGGTAGTGATGGCTGGCTGGCCACACCCCTGAAATGGTCCTCCGGTCACCGCTCGCCCCGCCCACCATTTTCACCGCCGCCATGTTCTTCTCGCACACGCATCCCTCTGCCTTGCAAGTCCAATGGGATGTGCATATGCGAAGAACATGGCAGCGACGGCAGCAGCTTTTTCCATGACGTCTGGTACTTTTTGGTGGCCTGCGGCTTCTTTGCCAGCCACTTTCCAGCAGTGGTGCCTGGTTGGGGGCTGCCAAAAACTCTGGTCAGCTTGCCTTCTGGACTCTGGACCAGCTGCCACAGAATGTAAGTAGCCTGAACAAAGAGTTAGTGGTGGGGGAGGAAACAGGGCTAGGGCCGGGGCCATTGAAGGAGGGGAAATGGGGGCAACTGGCGAAGGGAGGGCAGGGGTAGATAGGTCAAAATTCCAAAATTTTTCCTATCTTTTCCTGTGGGCATGGCTAGGTGGGGGGTCATGTGACTGAGTTGGTGTGGGCATGAGTGAGGTCAAGTTGACCACGCCCACTCAGTCACATGCCCACCACCTGCCATGCCCACCAAACCAGTAGCGAAAATTTTTGAAACCCACCACTGGTTTGATACATGTATCTTTCCATATTGAGTCACACTGGGAAATAAAATATATCATTTTTTTTAAAGGCCTAATTACTACTAAGGGGGAGAAGGGAAAAACTTCTTCAAACCTTCTTTATTATCTGGGTTTCATATTACACTACTTTTGCTATTTCAAAAATGCATTGATTATGATGTTGAAGATATTGAAGGAGAGAGAAGGGTGCTTTGACTCGAAATGAGTAAATCTTTACTAATAGTCTGAGACAGGTTTAGGAGTGCAGGCAACAGAGCAGAGCACACAGTTTGGCCCTGTATCTTCTTTTCACTCTTTTGTTGGCATGTTCAGATTGGAACCAAGTAAGGAGTTATTCTAGGTGAAGGCTTCCCACATGATTAGGGAGGTGCTCTGGCACAAAATGGATAAATGGATAGGCTTTTGCTGAAGCTGCAAAGACAGGCAGACAGACAGATATTGCTTGTATGTGCCCCCTTTTCTAGTTGGGTTTACAAACATTTTGCAAATATCTCTGCAAAGTTTCATATTTCCTTGTTGTGAGTTAAATTCCCTGTTGGCTACAAATGAAAATGAGAGTAATATTTTCTTTATATTGGAATATTCATATGTCTTTACCTATGCTTAATTTTTTATAAGAATAAAAGTAACACATTTTTTTTCCAGGTCAATTTTTTCTTTTTGCTCAACATTGTACGAGTTCTCATTACAAAACTGAGAGATACACATCGGGCTGAATCCAATATGTACATGAAAGCTGTCAGAGCCACTTTAATTCTTGTGCCCTTATTAGGTATTCAGTTTGTCATTTTTCCCTGGAGACCAGAAAATAAACTTGCTGGAGAAATATATGATTACATCATGCATATTTTAATGCACTATCAGGTATGTTTATGGTTTTTTTTGTTTTTTTTGTTTTGGTAATGCTGGTAGGTTTTATTTGACAAAACAATATTTTCCCAGGAAACACAGCTGGCTTCAGATAATGGATTAGTGCCACTAAAGTCAATGAGAATAAATCAACTTTACAGCAGATTAGTTGATTTATGGGTTATTTTCCAAATAAAACAATCCACACATAAATATGTGAGATAATTTAGTCTGAGTTCTTTTGCATATTAACTGAGTAAACATAGAATCTTACGGAAGATGGAGACACAATTTTAGATCTATCCCTTATTTTTTAATGTAGAAATATTATTTTACACAAAAGACAGATTATGCAGGGATTTATAGTATGTAGGGAAAACTAACTTGAAGAAGAGAGAATAAATGTATACTCTTTCTTCCTGGCAAGTAACTACCTCCCTGTCTAACTGCCTAGATAATGAGTTTAATATTCACATCTAAAAATATATTCTTGGAAAGAATAAATATTTGTACCTGCAAATCCAAAGGATGGAGAAAAATGTGAATGGCAAATTTAGTCTGAATGAGAATTGTCACTAGGTATATAATCAGTTTAGATTGCATAAGTGCTTTTCCCAACACCATGGGAAAAGGGCTACTTTGGCTGACAGGCCATGAATACATTCCACTTTTTTTTTGCTAGTCTGAGATACTGCTAATTGGTCATTGGTCATCCTGAAAGTGCTTGGTATAAATTTTCCAGTGCTTGGTATACTTTTCCCAGGGTTCCTCATTCATGGTAACTGACAGAAAAATCAAGAAGACCACATACTGCACCTTGAAAACTGTAAAGGAATGGCAGTGTCACAAGGATCCATATGGCAATGAATGGACAAATGCAAGCTGAAACTGCATGCAGCCATTTAATTCCTTTTTTGTGACTTCCAAAGTGACCTAGTTGTTGAAAATCACTGGCATGGTTTCTTGTTATCTTAATGGAAATTTATTTTTTAAAATCCAGTAAATAAGCATAATATATTTTGAGGGAGCCAGTTTGATCTAGCAATTAAGGAGATTGTGAGTTCTAGTTCCACATTTTAACAAACTGCATCACTGTTTGATTTGGTGGCTGCAGTGAGTCAGAGGGTGACTTTGGGCTAGTTAGTTTCACTCAACCTGCAGTGTCAAGCCTGGGCAAAAAGCTGGTCAGTCAATTGCTGTTGCAAACAATGGATCAATATTTTGTTGATACAAAAAAGTGGACCCTGCACTTTTGGGAAGAGTTTAGGAAGAAAAAATATTTGGAGGGAAAGGACAAGAAAACTCAGATAATCCTCCCTGCCCATGGAGATGCGACATAATCTTCCCATATTTATTATTAGTTAAAGATGGCCTCAGCCATCAAAAGTGCGCACACCTTTCCTATAGCTCATTTGAACAACAGGTGCCTATATGGCAAACTTCTTTTCTTCCCTACCTGCAGCTTCAATATCTGTAGGTAATAATTAGATCAAGATGTTTTATAATACACTAGTGGGCTAGCCCTTCTAGAGTTAAATGGATCAATAAAAATGTGGCATATTTTATTTTATACATTTGTATGTCAGTAATCTGGTCCATTAATTAATACCTTCTGACTTGTGGGATCTTTGTAAGCATCTGTCAGCCCTTCAATGTAGACTTAGTCAGGAAACAGACTCCATAAAAAATATTGGAAACCTACTTTATTGATAGTAATAGAATCCTGAAACATAGTCAGTGTTTCACTCCCTCCCTCTTACACCAAAGAGAATTACCGCAGAGCAATGGTGGGTTGCTCCCGGTTCTGTCCGGTTCTATAGAACTGGTAGTAAAATCAGCAGGAGGCTCCGCCCACCCACCCGGACGTCATAAATGACAATCTGCACATGCGCAGAAGAGCAAGTGAACGCACCTGGCCACGTTGCAAACTGGTAGTAAAGGTAAGTAGAACCCACCGGTGCTGCAGAGCTAATATAAATTTCTCTCTAATATTCTTTTCTATTCCTGGACTTAAATCATCCTAACTGTCACATGCTTTTCCAAGATCATCTCTGTGATTATTTAGAGCATCTCTGATATAAAGAGCAGTTAATGCAAATTGCCAGAAAATCATTTTTTAATGATTACTTTTTTATTCATGCATTTTCCCTGTGCAGGCTTTGAAATCTTTCCCTACTGTAACCTCCTTTAACATAAGAAATGTCCTTGGTACAGTTTGAATAAATTACATCCCTTTGTAGGTCTTTTGTTGTTGTTTTTTCCTAAAAGTTTGATTTGGGGAAGATAGTGAATGGTATTTAATTTTACGCATCCTAGCACTGTTTTTTCCAAGTGGAACAACCAGATATGGTCCCAAAACTGAAAAAAATTGTTTTTAGCCCTGTTTCAGTTCTTCTCTATATGAAGTCAGAAAAGCAGTAAGATTTTTCTTCTCTCTGCAATGATTTAAAATCATGCTTTGGCAGCCCATTTTTGTTGGGCAGATCTGTCTAAAAATGCCTATGAACCTGAGGCCTAAGTTTGCAGTAGACCTCCCACCCATCTGATAAAAATAATAAATAACAATTGTGAAAATAAATATTTTCTTTCCATGATTACAAGATCTGCATAAAATCTCTTTCTTCCTTTCTCTCAAGTGGGGCTCCATCATTCCTAGTCCTAAATCAAACACCTACAGCATTGTACAGCCATTTGTAATTCTGACTGTTCAAAGTTGATGACAGTGCTGAAAGAAATGACTTACAATCAGTCTATACCAGAGGTCTTCAAACTTGACAGCTTTAAGACTTGTGGACTTCAACTCCCAGAATTCTCCAGCATAGCTGGCTGGAGAATTCTGGGAGTCGAAGTCCACAAGTCTTAAAGCTGCCAAGTTTGAGGTCCCTTGGTCTATACACTTGAAACGGTTGCAGCATCCCTCAGGATCACATGATCAAAATTCAAGCACCTATTTACAACAGTTGTTGCCACTGAGAGTCATGTGGTCATCATTTTTGGCCTTCCTAGAGGGCTTCCAATAAACAAATTCAGATTTGTAACAACCACAGTTAATTGCTTAACAAACAGGGCAAAAATATTGTAAAATCAGGCAGAACTAACAACCACATCACTTTCTAATGGAAGTTACAGTCCTAATTGTGATTGTAAGCTGAAGACTAGCTATAGATGGTTCTTAGGCCACCAAAATGGGAAATAATCTAAATCCTTCAGCAGTAGAGATAAATAACTAATTGCTAAGTAACAGTTCACTGAGCAAATATTTGCATTTAGATAATATCAGACTTTGAAATCATTGCCGATGCTCCAAGGAAATTTAAATACATCTCAGCTATATTAAAAAACTATGTTTAGCTGTGTATATTTATAGCAAACAGCAACATTTATGTTGCCAGGATATCAAACCAAGATCAGATCAGACCAAAAATTATGCAGCAATATGCTAGTCTCCTAATATCAGGATAGATCAACAATATGATTTCCTGCATTCAAAAGTTGTGTGGCCTGCAAATAATGCAATGCTGGCACGAGAAAGAGTCACATTTTCCTTTAATCTAGATCAATGTGTATTCTGCAAGAAAGCAAAGCACATTAAATTGACTCCTATATTATTGCAGTAATGTGTTGATTAGCTTGTAATACATGCATTCTCCAAACTATAATAATATATGTAAGCTTATACATATGTTACAATGCAAAAAGATGTGAACTCATCTGTTGATTTACTATTGCCTCTATAAGATATTAAAAACAAATAAACCAAAGAAATAAACTAGATAGTTAGGCAAGATAGAATATTGTGACTACTCTCAAGAGGATGATCATACAAGAATTATCCTTCTGGAATAATGCTAAATAAAATTTTACAAAAGCCCATGCATACTTAGCTTGATATTGGGTAATTAAATCTATTTAATGGAAAGCTGTTAAGATCATCAGTATTTCATGTAAAATGGAATGCCACTGAAGATAAGAAAAACCTACTCAAAATATTTAGTTTGTAATGGAACATATTTTGTGAACAAGTCAAACCCATGGATAGTATTGAAGAAATCATGTGATTTCCTTTTAATTAAAAGCCCTGAATATAAGTATCATCTGCTCTTCTGAATATGCTGTGGTATCACTTAATTCCATTGATAGTCATTCATTGACTGAGCCACAATGTACTTTGGTTTCGTTTTAATCTGTTGATATTGTAATTTATAAACCATGGATTCTACTCTGTCAGAAGGACAAACCCTGAGTCTGCAAGCCATACACAATTCCCAAAGCCTATGTTTGAGATTTGCCAGTTTGTGTAAATCTCCATACAATGCTGTGGTTGTGATTTATTATCAATTTGTGGTTAAAAAAAAATGATAGGAAACAAGTGTGTTTGGCTTTTAAAGGAGTTACTGCTTTATTAATCTTAAAAACAATCTTCGATAACTCCCCAGAAGAGGACAGTCTTTCAAATTACATTTCAATGTATGATGCCAGCATTGTTACTTTTGTTTAGCTTCTATTATATATTACCTCAAGTTGCTTCAAACCTTACAAACCTTACCTTATGGCTCTGTGTGAGCCATAGCAGAATGGCTGAGCTGGGACAGGAAGAAACAGAATGATTCTAGTACTACTGAATTGCCATTTTTGCATTTGTATGCTGTAATGAAGTTATGGAAGCTCAGTACATGCAACCCCCTTATTCCAGAATTTGGATTACAAAATTGTTCAAGTAGGAACAGCACTTCAGGGGTATTGTCCTATGATGCTTGAGATATAATTACTACATTATTGTACCTTATCTCTAGCAAAACATAGATGAATTATGTTAAAACCGCTCTGGAATAATGCCTTAAAATACTGGAATAAATGCATTATAATGTGTCCACTGATTACATCATACCTATTTTCTAGTCATTTCTTCCTGGAGTTATTGGATATGTATTTTTTTTTCTTCACTATTTTCCCCCTGAATAATCACCACAGCGCTGCCATGTTGCAGTGCATTCTTTCTCAAACTGAGACTTTGTTGGAACTACCATTCTCCAGATTCATAGCAAACTTGACCAGATAATCTAGTGGTTCAGAATTCTAGAAGCTGTAGTTTTCAAGAAATCTAGTAGTCATTCAGTTGGAGAAGGCTGCATTGATGGAAGAACAGTAGTTTTAGGCAAGGATAATAGTTTCAGGTTCAAACTGTTATAAAGCAAAATAAGCTATTTTTTAATGAGCATTAGTTATTTTGAAATTACCTCATTTATTGCCTTTAACCTCGTCACTATTTCTTACATTGCTGTAGTATTGCCTTTGATAGTATTGCCTACAGAATAGTGAACTAAAATCTTATTTCAAAACCATCTGAACACGTTCAGATTAGATTATACTTGTGCAAAATATAATATGTTCATGAAATTATATGACCCAAAATGCTTTTATAAACAAGATAGAAATATTTTTTAAAAAGAGGAAGATTGCCATTACAAAAGGATGCAGGACTGCAATGTTATATACATTTACTAAATTGTATATGAAAATTAAGAAAATTCAGAAGTACTTATTTCCAGGTGTGTGGATGTGTATGTAATGAGAATGTCACACAGCAAGAATTTATTTTATATATATACACATAGACACACACAATATGTCTCTTTGTGTATGTGTTTATTTTTGAAGCACAAATGTGCAGCCTTTTAATAACTCCGATCTGCATTTAATATTTTTTCAGAAGAGTGAGGGCTGCAACAGGTGGAGGAATTTACAAGCTGGGTATGGACCCATAAGGCCAGAGTTTTATTTCCACTGGGTTTGAAAATAGCTTTTTAAAATCTAGGCTAAGACTATTTTAGGACGAGTTCTACAATTTGCTTCATTTCCCACATCATAATGCAGGTGTTAATCCTTGTGACTGGCATGGGCTGTAAGGCAGGGGTGGGTTCTAAATTTTTTTACTACCTGTTCTGTGGGCGTGGCTTATTTTGTGGGCGTGGCTTGTCGGGTAATGTGACTGGGTGGGCGTGGCCAACTTTTTTTTTTTTTACTTTTAAAAGCATTTTTTTTACAACCTTAAGAAGCTGCAGAAAAAAAATGCTTTTAGAAGCCTCTGATGATCAGGCAAGTTAGCTGGAATTGCCAGAGGCTTTTAAAGGCATTTTTTTTCCCTACAACCTCTTTGGCTGAAGAGGTTGCAGAAAAAAATGCTTTGAGAAGCCTCTGATGATCAGGCAACTCAGCTGGGACCATCAGAGACTTTTAAAGGCATTTTTTTCCCTACAACTTCTTTAGCCGAAGAGGTTGTTAAAAAATGTTTTTAAAAGGCTCTGATGATCCCAGCTGAGCCACGCGATCATCAGAGGCTTTTTTTTTTTCTTTTAAAAGCATTTTTCAGCCAAAGAGGTTGTAGAAAAAATGCTTTTAAAAATAAAGAAAACCCAAAAGCCTCTGATGAGGTGGGCAGGGTAAGCGAGCGGCGACCGGGGCCGGGGACCGGTTCGGGGGCGTGGCCAACCAATGTTATTACCGGTTCTCCGAACTACTACAAATTTTTACTGCTGGTTCTTGCGAACTGGTGCGAACCGGGAGCAACACACCATTACTGTAAGGGCGGCAAGAAATAATTAGGGACCCTTTGTCAATGTATCAAAGGGTAGGAGTGAAATATCTGAACTACAACAATCCAGATGTCCTCTGGATGGCAGCAAAGAGTTTCCTATAGCCTTGTGCCATCTAATGAAGAGTTGGATTTTGGTAGTTCGGTTAATAGCAATCCTGTTGATGGGATTTTAGAACTTCCACTTCTATTTTAAAATAGCAGATAAGAAATGGGGACAAGAAAATAACAAGCAAAGAAAAGGAAATACACGTGTTCTGCTGTTCTGCTGACAAAAGATCACCCAATCCAAAGCTGTTATGTCCTTTGGTTGAATATCGCAATTGCTGCCATCAATAAAGCTTGCACCAAATAGGTGTGTTTATTTTTTTCAAATGTCCCAAAATTCTAAGCTGCTTGTCCTGTATTCTTTTGGAAAAGAAATAAGTATTTTCAGACCATTAATTTTCCCTGTAAGTTTGCATTTAAATGATAATTTCTTTCCACAAATTTCTCCACTCTTTGTGAAAATGCCACTTTCTATCAAATGACTTGGTTTTTATGGGAAGAAAGAGTGAGTACTTGAAAAATGCCACATTTTATTTTACATAAGAGGCATCCACAGGAGGCAGAGAAGGGGGTGTCAAAAAGTCATGACATTGTCATGATGACCATTGTTGAATCCCACTCCATTTCCTTAGAAGTGTTACTGGTTCAGTTCTTGTTAAAAAAGGAGTAGGGGTTTAGACTTAAGTGTTTGGGGAAAAGTTCAACATGATAATTACTCAATAGAAAGAAGGGCCGAAGGCATAATTGTATGGAGTTTTTTTTCCCTTTCTTTTTATTCATACATACATACTGTAAATATGTTATACATATGGAATTGGAATTTGATTTCAAGCGCCATCTTGATTTTTTGAGACTCCACCTTGACCCCATTCAGGATATTCTTTTGTTTTGTCTCTGATCAAGGAACACTAAATGTAAGGAATAAATTGTGAAATTCGGGACAGACAAAATGAAGTGTTTTACATCAATATGAAAATGTAACTGAAGATCAATAATGGAATTTCTTTTCATTATGTGTGGTGATAATTACCGACTCAAGTACCATTGAAGCAGAACAGTATCGAGACATTCATTTCCATCCTTCTTACTTAGGACTTCAAGATCCCTTTTTAAATAGTTTTAAAAGGAGATTAGAGAAACAGAGGAAGAAACTAGAACAAGGTCGTCAAACTCGTGGCCCCTGGGCCGGATACGTCATGGGCTGACCATGCCCATACCCGGTTTAGCTAAGGGAAAAAGTCCTGATACATCACATGATGCCACTGTGACGACATGAGTTTGACAGCCCTGTATTAGAGAAACAGATGATGATTAGTTCATAAGTGACCTGGCTGTCTGTTTTCTGTAACAGGATGCTAGGTTAGATAGCTCTTTAGCAGAATTCTTGAATTATGAATTATTATACTGTAACTATACCTGCATATAGTGAAATGTTATAAAATATATCTGATTTACTTTATTCTAATACACACACACATATAAATTCTATAATCATAGAAACAATCTGAATAATTTGCTTTTCATTTTTCTTTTCAGGGCTTACTTGTGGCAACTATTTTCTGTTTCTTCAATGGAGAGGTAAGCAAAAAAAATTCATTTCATGTCATTTAGTACTGCCATTTAGTCCTAGTTTGATAACTACACTTCACGTTAGATTAGCTTGGAAAACAAAACAAATTACTCCTAATAAATGACAGAAATACTTTGGTTGATATTTTGAGCCAGGTCAATTTTAGTCAGGCATTGCTCAGATCTTTTAACATTTATCTTAATGCTGCACGCATAGTTTACTAATCCATTTTATCTCTGCTGTTTTAGTACTTACCGTTTGTTTTATTTGCTGTGTCGAAATATTTTATAAGGATTTTTATGAGCTTTTATTATTGCCTATTACTCTGCAAGCCGCTACTGTAGTGTGACTAATGAAAATACAATGAATAAATGAATCTTTAGGAAACGAATAAAATCTTTAGGATCAGGTAGAAAAAAGTTATGGTTTCAGTATGGGGAAGTAAAACAAAAGATTTTAACCCATGTTACAGGTAGTCCTTGACTTAAGATCATTTGTTTAGCAACCATTCAAAATTATGATAGTGGTTAAAAAAAAGTTGTCTTATGACTGGTCCTCACATTTAAAACCATTGCATCATCCCTGTAGTCACATGATCAGAATTTGGCCTCTTGGCAACCAGCATGTAATTACAATGAGTGTAGCATCTCAGGGTCACATGATCACAATTTGCAGCCTTCCCAGCCAGTTTTCAACAAGCATAGTCAACATGGGAAGCTGGATTCACTTAACAACCATGTGATTCACTTAACAACCATGGCAACAATTGAACAGGACTCACTTAATGACTACCTCACTTAGTGACAGGAACTCCAGTCCCAATTGTGGTCATAAGTCAAGGACTACCTATAAAAAAAAACTCCTGAAGGTCCAAAATATTAAATGTTCACAGCAAGAACTCACCAACATCAAGGACAATTGCTTTGAAAAGTTTTGGTATGACTGGGATTCATGATAACTGTGAATAACGCATTGAATTAATTGATACAGTTGATTACATCAGCATCTAAATTCATGTTCAGTTGTCCATATTTACATAATCTGAAGCGATACCTGGGCCTAGGGGAAAGAACTACTGGGACTTATGGTACATTTTGTCTTCCCTAGATTCATAGCAATAGCACTTAGACTTATATGCTAGTTCACAGTGCTTTACAGCCCTCTCTAAGCGATTTACAGAGTTTTGCCCCCAACAATCTGGATCCTCATTTTACCCACCTCGGAAGGATGGAAGGCTGAGTCAACCTTTTTGGGGAGACTTAATGCGGCCACATGTTTACTGGACCCGTGTCCCTCCTGGTTAGTACTGGCTTCCCAGGAGGTTACACGAGGCTGGCTCCAGGGAATTATCAACGCTTCGTTGAGTGAGGGTCACTTCCCTGCCGCCTTGAAAGAGGTGGTGATGAGGCCTCTCCTCAAGAAGCCTTCCCTGGACCTGGCAGTATTAGCCAACTATTGTTCTGTCTCCAACCTTCGTTTTGTTGTGAAGGTTGTTGAGAGTGTGGTCGCGTGACAGTTTCCACAATTCCTGGAGGAAACATCTTATCTAGATCCATTCCAGTCGGGTTTCAGGTCTGGGCACAGCATGGAAACGGCATTGGTCACGTTGGTAGATGATCTCTGGAGGTCTCAGGACAGGGGTTGCTCCTCTGTTCTGGTCCTATTAGACCTCTCAGCGGCTTTTGATACCATCAACCATGGTATTGTGCTGCACCGGTTGGAAGAGTTGGGGAGGGGGGCACCGTGTTATGATGGTTCTCCTCCTTTCTCTCAGACCGGTCGCAGTTCGTGTTGGCAGGGGGACAGAGGTCGACCTTGAGGCCTCTCATTTGTGGAGTGCCTCAGGGGTCGGTCCTCTCACCCCTTCTGTTCAACATTTATGTGAAGCCACTGGGTGAGATCATCTGTGGCTTTGGGGTGAAGTACCATCAGTATGCTGATGACACCCAGCTGTACATCTCCACCCCAGGCCACCCCAACGATGCCCTTGAAGTGATGTCCCAGTGCCTGGAGGCTGTGCGGATCTGGATGGGGAAGACCAGGCTCAAGCTCAACCCTTCCAAGACTGAGTGGCTATGGCTCCCGGCATCCCGATATAGTCAGTTGACTCCATCACTGACTATCAGGGGTGAGTCTTTGGCCCCCGCAGAGAGGGCGCGCAGTCTGGGAGTCCTCCTGGATTCACAACTGTCCTTGGAGGAACATCTGACGGCTGTAGCCAGGGGGACCTTTTGTCAGGTTCGCCTGATTGACCAGTTGCGGCCCTTTCTTGATCGGGATTCCCTGTGCACAGTCACTCATGCCCTCGTCACCTCGCGCCTGGACTACTGCAACGCTCTCTACATGGGGCTCCCCTTGAAGAGCACCCGGAGGCTCCAACTGGTCCAGAATGCAGCCGCGCGGGTAATTACGGGAGCCGCTTGGTGCTCCCACATAACACCACTCCTGCATGAGCTGCGCTGGCTCCCAGTGGTCTTCCGGGTGCGCTTCAAGGTGTTGGTTACCACCTTTAAAGCGCTCCATGGCATAGGACCTAGTTATCTTCGAGACCGCCTGCTGCTACCAATGACCTCCCACCGACCTGTGCACTCCCACAGAGAGGGCCTCCTCAGGGTGCCATCAGCCAAACAATGTAGGCTGGTGACCCCCAGGGGGAGGGCCTTCTCTGTGGGGGCACCTACCCTCTGGAATCAGCTGCCCCCAGAGATAAGGAGAATCCAAGATCTCGGTGCCTTCCACCGTGCCCTTAAAACTTTCCTTTTCCAGCAAGCCGGGCTGGCTTAACATATTTTTAATTTTTTAATTTTTAATTGGTCTGTTATCTTAAATTGGGGCCAAATTAATATATATCCTTTTAACTGTTTTTAATGTTTATATTGTATGTTTTTTATCTGGCTGTACACCGCCCTGAGTCCCTCGGGAGAAGGTGCGGTATATAAATTCGAGATAAAATAAAATAAAAAAAACCTTGAGCCGGTCAGGATCAAACTTCTGGCAGTGAACAGTGAGATAGCATGCAGTACTGCATTCTAACCACTGCACCACCATAGTTCTTTAAAGTATGTTTTTGATATTGAATAGTATATCCCTGTCCCAGATGAGGTTGTGAAGCACTTGTCAGGGTCTAGTGGCTGTGAAGGTTTGGATTGGTTGAAACATTCTGAAATCAAATTCAAGAAAAACAGATTTAGAATTTCTCTATCATGAGTCTCTCTATCAGTTCCAGAATCCAAGGAAGCGACACTACCTATGTATGATTTGGGATGTGTGATTTGATGATTCTTCTGGGCATTCATGGTTACTGATGGATAGACAAGTAGAAACATCCCTAACTAGAGACTGAAGATCCTGATATAGTAAATCTTTATGTCCTTACTAAATCATCTTCTTCTACCTAGCATATTCCTGCAAGAGCAAGATTCGCTTTTCTGATCAGAGTGCCACTTTGCACAGTTAGCTGCATCTCCAGGGCGCAGGCCCACAACTTGCATATTTTTGTTGATGGTATCTTGCTATCTCTGTTTTGGGTGCCTGTGAGGTAGCCAGCCATTAAGTTCTATTTGATAAGCTGTCTTGGCAATGGTGGAAGGTGCTGCTCTCAGGATATGTCCATACCAGCAGAGCTGATCTTCTCTAATCTTCTCTATAATTGTTGCCACACCAAAATGTTGTCGAATTGTGTCATTAATTGCTATGCATTTAGATTGCAGTAACCAATGTGCGGCTGTTTAGATCAAATATGGGGGAAAATACGACAACCTACTTGCTAGCAGGCTTCCTGAAATATATAGCACTAGTGTTGTGGACTAGGCATTGACTCTCAATAATTTCACAGGTTCACAAATATAGAAAAGACAATTCCTGGCTCAACAGTAGTAACTATGAGAGGGAACTAAATGACCTAGTAGATAACCAGTTAAGTATGAGCCAGAACTATACTGAAGCTGCAACACACACACACACAAAATACAGTCATAGGCTGTGTGAACAGAGAGATAGCATCAAGATCACAAGAAGTGATAGTCCTGCCCTGTACTGCACTAATGAAGCCACATTTGGAATACTGCATCCAGTTTTGGTTACCACGATATAAAAAAGATGCTGAGACCCTAGAAAGAGTGCAGAGAAGAACAACAAAAGATGATAACAGATCTGGAGCCTAAAGCATACAATGAACAGTTAAGGGAATTAGGTATGTTTAGCCTAATGAAAAGAAGGATTAGGAGTGACAGGATAGCTACCTTCCAGTACTTTTGAGGGACTGTCACAGAGGAGTTGACTTATTCTCTAAATCAGGAGTCCCCAATTCCAGGCCATAGCCCATGACTGGGCCTTGAGCCCATCGGAACCAGGCCATGGAAGTGGGCGACCATGTGCATCTGTGCTATATTTGTGCAAGCATATGCATGCTTGCCCAACCCCCCTCCCCACTGGTCCACAAAGGCAGAAAGGTTGGGGAACTCAGCTCTAACATATCCGAGGACAGGACAAGAAGCAATGGTGGAAGCTCTTTAAGGAGAGATCAGACTTGGAACTAAGGACAAATTTCCTGGCAATGAGAACAATTAATCAATGGAAGAGTTTGCCATCCAGAGTTGTGAGTGCTGGACATTTTCAAGAAAAGATTGGGCATCCATTTTCCCATAATGGTATAAGGACTGCTGCCTTGAGTTGTGACTTATATATATAAAATCACTGAAAACACTCCGTTTCCGCAACTTAATTTTAACAATATAACCATGACAGTGGGAAGATATCTGCACAGATTCTTCACTTTCATTTTTTTTTCAGTGAAACTTTTCTTAAAGAAAGAAAACAATTACTTTGCAACAAAATGAGATTAACTATGATGAGATGAAAGTTACATTTTATCATAAGATGAATTACATATTTTTAGGCCATTGTACAGTACACTGTGCAAGATAGACTGAAGGATTTCAAAAGTTATTGTTCTGTAACTACATTTGGAACAAATATTGCAGGTTTAGTTATTTACAAATTCTCAGTA